CAATTTTCCTGAGCTTGCTTCTAAATTCTTCGATGAATTATGAAGAAAGATAATTTCGGTCTTCCTGAAGTGTTCCTAGCACTAGTCCTCTTCTGCAGCCTCCAATGTTGAAATGGACAATCTGCAATGAAATCTTTGGATTGATGTGAACCACAGGGATTTAATTCGTCACTAACGAGGAATTTCCTCAGTTGGTGGTGAAAGGAACTTCTTGTAGTTCAAGAAATTCATTTATGACTGCAAGGCAGCTTTGTGTCCAGCTGATTTCAACATAGGAACCTGCAGAAAAGGACAAGCGCTAGGAACACTTCAGGAAAACCGAAGTTATCTATCTCCATAATCCATCAAAGATTTAAGAAACCTCAGGAAAATTGTATGCTGTTTTACTCATGGTACTAGGTTTTATGTAGTCATATGTAACATTCCACTACTGCATAAACCTGTGTTGTGTAATGGGCAGGGATAGGTGACGCGGTAGGTGACCCATAAAGAAATGGAAAAAAAAAAAGAGCTATAGTTTTCAAATTTAAATTATTCAGTTCTAAGTTCTAATTCAAATTTAAGTTATTCAGTTCAATTATTAAATTTAAATGATTAACTTCTATTCATAAAGCAACATACATTTCACCGGTCAGTTTGACTAAATCTAGGTGAAACTAAAAATTAAATTTAAAAACTATAATGTACAGATTTTTCTTCTGTGATTTATTGCCTGTATCATTTTATCAATATTTTTTCACCGTTTAGTTTAAAATATTGAGAGAAACTTGCATTTAAGAGAAAGGGTGTCCTAAATTTGAATAATTCCTTTATTTCTCTTAGTTGTAGCCTTATATCCATTGTCAATTTGAAGAGAATTAAGAATAAAAAAAGAGTTATAAAATAACCTGAAGTAATGATTTGAATCTTCAATGATTTTGAAATTTATTTGAAATGGATCTCGGAAACAAGTTCACAAATTTAAAATTTAAACCTGTCCTGGCTGGATTATAACTGCCATACAAAATGATGCCTTGATATTCTCTATCACCATGGCTTCATGTCCTTTTTTTGATGAATGAAAGTCTAAAATATAGATACCCTATAGTTGCCTTCCAGTTCAAAAAAATAAATTTTTTTCCTGAAATCTTTGATATTATATGTTGTCCAAATTTGAATTTTGGGAATCTTAGAACGCATCCAATCTTCGGCATGAAGATGACAAGAGAATGTGTGATAGTGACGTGAGATAGATAGATGATAAAATGAGGTGTTAATCCCAATTAAAACTAATAACTTTTCTATTTATACACACGGTCATATTAGAAACCAAACATGATTGTTGCAATAAACAAAAAAACGTTGGGGCTGGTCAACCTATGTACAGTTAAATAAAATATAATATATAATGAATTTGAAAAGATTTGGACACTGCCAGATCACCAACAGTATCCTTGGCCACCGTGAAGTGGATAAGAAGATCAAAATACAAATATATAAGTCTGTATATTTGCTTATTCTCATGGCGGAGAAAGATAGACTATGTAGGATAGACATAGTGACATAACATAACAGCAGCAGAATTGAGGTTCCTATATAGATCGGTGGAGAAAACTAGAAGGGGTTGCATAAGAAACAAAAGTATAATAGTGCAGCTGGAAGTACCTGAACTCAAAACCAACTCAAGTGGGTTGGACTTGTCTGCCCGGTGAACATGGACCCTTTAAAGGTATTAGAGGCTCAATCCACTTGGAAGAGACCACAAGGGTGTCCCAGAGTTTTATATCAGGAATTCATGCAAAGGATTGAAAATAGAGACGTAAATCCCTCAATCAAATGAAGCAATTAAGCAGAGACATGGAAGGGTGGCTGCATTGGATAAAAGCTCCTCGACACTAGGAATGGCATTCGAGGAAGATAAAGAAGAAGGAAAAACAAAATAACATGAAACTGAAGTATTTAAAAAAAAAAAAAATTAAATATTAATAATTTACCAAACATTACATACTGAATTTCTGATGTATCTCATTTTGAGGAATTTATCTTCAATATGTAATCAAATCTTCAGTCAGAAATGTTTGTACATGCCAGAAATATATAAATAATTATCCTCAAACTAAAAAACCTAATACAAACATAATTACACAATTAGATATTTTATAATATTACATAATTGATTTTCTAAGAATCATACCCTTATTTTCCTTATGACTTCATACCGTCGATATAAATGCTAACTATTGAATATGAACATTTTTTAATCCTATCCTACAGCAATTGTAATAATAATTAAATTATTTTTAAAGAGCGAATACAAAATCTTCAAATATTCATAAAAGCACATAGCAGTGTGAAAATTAAAACATTTTCATTGTTTAGGCTTACTTGATAATGATATTTGAGTGATGATATTCAGGTTCAATAGTTAGCATTTGTATAGACGATATCTTTTCTTGTAATTTTAAGATATTTTTCAATTTAACCATAGTTGACAAATACCGTAACAATTGCAAGAAATATGGTTAGAGAACTGAACAAAAATTTAAATGATCATTATAAAATTAATTATATAGAAAATATTATTTAATTAACATTAACAACAAGTTAACATGCCCTTAGAAAAATAAACTTGAATAGTTAAATTTTTTATAAAGTTATGGAATATCTTTTGCAAAAACTTAAGATGATTCATATAGAGGCAAAATTCCAGGGTAGCAATTCACAGTTATTCAATAAATTTCATGTTAATTTATTAACATATTTATTCATTTTGTTAAAAGTATTAAAATAATAATAATAATTTACAAATAATAGATACAAATGGAATACGACAGAAGATAAATAAAAATAAAACTGAAATATTTTCAATAAAATAGAAAATCAAGGCATCGGCTTTAAGTTTTTTTTTTTTTAATATTGATTTCTCTGAGAATAATGAAAGGTCAGAATTGTCAATAATGAAATATTGGAACTCATTACAAAAACTTTCTGAATAAGAATTTAAACAGGTTATATATACATCAGCTCATGTTAATATGTATATAAATAATCATCTGCATATTGAAATAATCACAATCCTGGATTTTCCTTCATTATTGAAAAATAAAAAAATAGTGACTGAATTAACACACAATCAAATAGTTATTTATCAAAGTCACATAAAGTAAATACTGTATTACCACTAATATTGCAATCTTAATTATATTATAAAAAATTAAACAACTAACATCATTAACATTCAATCTAAATATATGATTAAGAGTAGTGCAGTGGAATAGCTATAAAAAAAAAATATGGTGGCTTGTGGCAACTGAAATTGGCACCAAAATTTGTACTGCTGACAAAATATAAACATCTTATAATTAATTGATTATCTCAACTTAAATATATGAGTATTAATAATTATTAGTAAATATAAGTTAATAAGTATTAAAATATTATCTAATATTAAGAAAAAGTTACATTTTAGATTATTTTTACATTACCAATGTATGCTCTCTAAAAATTTGAAGAGAAGAGAGAGAGTAGGTACCAACCTTAGGAAACTGAATTTTGAACTGAGAATTCATTTTTAATATACTGATTTAAAATATTTAAAAACGTGGTTAAATCAATTAATTGATTTTTTAATCATTAATTTCATATTTAATTAATATAATTAAAAAAATTATCAGTTTTAATACCAATTTCATTATAATTATTTTTATGCTATAAAAAATGAACTCACTGAAAATAAATTCCTTTATAATGAGTAATGACCAAGAAAAATAATTTAAGCAAACATTTTAGAAATCAAAAGTTTTTAATTTAATTTATTTTAATTATATAATTATCACAGTTCTAAAATTTATTAAAACTTAAAATGGTTAAGCTGTGGTAAAAATTGTGCTGAATTTTACATGAATACTTAGATAAAAGTAATATTTATATAAATTTAATATATAGATATGTAATAATATATATACATATTGTATGTATTGTTGCTAATAAAAAGGCAATACGTCATTTAAAGGTATACATACATCAATATAGTAGAGTTAACTTCGTTACTTTTTAAGTCGTATTATTGCTTGGATCGCATAACTTCCGAAATGATCTAATTCATTAAACAATAATCAATTAATTAATGCATTAAACGATATTTAATATTGATTCGAAATACATATTATATTTTACTTCATGTCACCACTCTTGAATCTTAATGTTCTAGACGAATAAACGTGAGTCAAGACTATCTAAATTCAACTAGTTTAAGTACGCTAGTTATTGAACGATCGAAGCGTTGTACAGTATATTTTTTCTGATTAAAGAAAAATCTATTAATCCAATAAGAAAACGACATATTTTTTCTGAGACTAACATTAGGGAGTGGGGAGGGAGACACATTGAACTAAAATTTTAACAATTGTTTAAAAGATTCGTAATATTTCGCCAGATGAAAAAAAAAAACAATAGAGGGGGGCACAGCTTTATATAAGTAATTAAAAATCGTATTATTACAATTATAAATTATAATTACTCTCGAGCTTTAAAAAAGCTTTTAGAAAAATATATGTTTATAATAAATATTGTCTCTTAACCTAAATATTTCTTTCAAAAAACTTATTTTACGCCTTTAATATAACCAGGAACAAACAAAAAAACTGGTCTTAATACTTTTTGGTTCTGAAATTTTCTTGATATTTAATCAAATAATTTAATATTTCAAGAAATGATAAATTTTTAAGATGTGAAGTTAATATTTACAAACTCATTTGAACCACTAGCGGATCCAGGATTTAATTTTGGGGGAGCTTCAGCCCGGAAGCTTTTTTTTTCATATATATAACGATAATTACATTGGAAAAACAGAAAGATACTAACTACCTATATGAAATGGTGTTTAAGTGATTCTTGAAGCCCTATTAAATGTAATTAAACGAGCAATAATACTTTAAGATATAATTTTTTTATATTTTTACAACGAAACATGTTTACATTTTACCATTTTGGAAAGGGGGGGAGGAGGTTCAGACCGAAAGCCCCTCCCCCGTAAATCCGCCTGTGGTTTGAACAAAAAACTTATCGTTTAAAATGTTTGGTGAATATGATCAAAGAATAGTAGCGCTCCTCGTGTCAACCAGATATACTAATCTTCTAAACAAAACTATGTTCAAACTTTGTCTAACTGTATCAATTATCATGTAATTTCTGTTTTTTATTTGTATAAATATAGAAATTAAAATGTCAGGTTGGAATAGGGAACAAGTGTTAAAATTGATTCAAATAATAAAGGAGAGGCCTACTCTATACGATTATAAACATCCGTGGTACAAATCACGGAATGCAAGACAGCAAGTGTTGATTGAATGTCAAGAAGCTCTCCACTTCGTCAGGCAAGTTAACATATTTTAATATTTACATTTTTATTACTATTATTTATTCATTTGTATTTTGTAATGCACATAGCTTGTGATTTGTTTTACAACTTAATGTAAACAAACAATAAAATGTTTGAACAAATTATTTCTATTTGATTTACATACTTCTCATAACTTTCAAAACGATTGCTGTCTATGTATAGGCCAGATACTTCCATAGATGAAATAAAAAAAAAGTGGAATGCCATAAGGCAAACCTATTTGTTGGAAAAAAAGAGGGAGGAAAATTCAATGAAAAGTGGAATTCCAAAGGACATGGTGTAGTAATTAACATTTATTTTGCTCTATCTCAATATGATTTTCATTTTATAACGATTCCTTTTTTTTTTAGGTATACACTCCTTCTCTCTTCTATTACAAAGAGATGGAGTTTTTAAAAGACTCGATAGAACGAGCCTCTGAGCTTACCCAGAATCCCGAAGAGGATACAGATTCATTTGAAGGAAGTTTTGTAATTAGTCCTGAGGGGAATCTTAGGAAGGAATATACCCGTCATGCATTCAATGAGGCGCCACCTCCATTCTCAAATGGGCCTACTCAGAGTAAAAAAAAGAAGAAACTGGATCATGTTGATTTAGCAGCATCTGTTGTAAGTGATGCACTACTATCTGTTTCTTCTGTGAGTATGACTATTCTCAAATTAATTTTAAAAATAACTTTTAGTAAGATAAGATTTTTATTTTGTTCTTAGTCATTGCTATCATCATGTGCTACGGATCGACTAGAAGATACTGAAGATAGGTATGCCAAGACTGTTGCCGATCGATTAAGAGGTTTTTCAGAAAAAGAAAGAATATTTATTAAAAAAAAAATTGATGATGTTTTTTATGAAGCTTTTATACACTACAAAAAAGGCACATAATTTTTTTTTTCAATTGATCCCTTCTTTACAGTTCAATTACTGTAATTAAAAGAAGAATAGATCTGTACCACTTCAACCCATGTAGGGGGTATTGAGTTCTGTACTTTGTAAGGAAGTACTGTTTCTTGGTCAATGGATGTACAAAGAATCACAGGCCGATCTACGGGGAGGGGAGGAGGCTTTCGGGCTGAAGCCCCCTCCCCTCCAAATGGTAAAATATAACCGTGTTTTATAGAAAAAAAAATGTTAAAAACTATCTCTTAAAGTATTAATGTTCGTGTAATTACATTTGATAGAACTTCAAGAACCACTTTAACACTATTTCATATAGGTAGTTAATTTCTTTCCTTTTTTCAAAAAAATTAAGTATCGTTATATATATGAAAAAAAAAAAGCTTTCGGGCTGAAGCCTTCCCAAAATGAAATTCTGGATCCGCTAGTGCAAAGAATAATTATAATAAAATAATGTTAACTGCTAAATAGGAAAAATTGAAACCATTAATAAAACATCTTTCAAATTTTCTCTTTGTAATAATTAACTGATTTAGTTAATTATTATTTAAAACTTTAGGATTAATGCTCAGACTGAAGCAATTATGAAAGAAATCCTCAAATATTATATTGGTAGTGCAATTAAATAAATATATTTATTTGTGATAAGTGGTTGTATATATTATATATGTTTTTATTAATTCTTTATTTAGACATTGTTTCAATTTCATTGAAATTATAAGCAAAAAATATAAACTTTTCCTTGCAAAAATTCAAAATAAACTGCCAACTCCATAAGCTTTTTAAATTTCTCATTTGCCAGTATTGACTTGCTTTTATTTATTATAACTTATTTTTTTTTTAGCTTAAACAATTCTAGATCTCAGCATTTAATTCAAGCAGTTGAATTTGTTTATCTGAGGATCAATAACATCAGATTACAACAATTAAACATGAAATTCATACATAAATAAAAATCTGATAACTCACCTGGTGGATCATTTTTTTAATTTTCACTTTCGCTCGGATCTTTCAAAGCTCAAAAGAAGCTTTTTAGGACCATTTTTGTTAATTAAATTTATTTGGCCTTATAGTTGAAAAGAAAAATCATGGATTTCATATTTTAAATATTTGTCTTATAGCTATATAGTTTTAATTAAAATAAATTACAGTGCTGAAATCGTATAATTATAATTCTTGTAAGTATAGTCATCTTTAACATGATTAGAATGGACTGAAGAAATACCTTTCAATAACTTTTGGAATATGAGATATATTTATGTAATGAAGAAGATAGCAAAAGAAATATAGATCTATGTGCAATAAAGAGAAAAGATCAAAATTTGCTATAAACATTCATTTAATAACTAGATTCCTCAAATTCTTCTTGAACAAAATCTTTGTTTTAACTAAGAAGTTAAAACTTAGTTATTATTCAGCATATTGGAATAGTAAAAGCCTAGTTTTTATAAAACCTTAAACATCTGGAGCTATTACTCTACTTAGATTTCAAAGCAGTTATTTTTGGCCAAAATCGATCTATGTAGTCTGCCCAAAGTTTTTTTTCCAGATAATTAACTAGATATAGATCAGGAATTAATAGATGTGAGATATCAAAAATAAAATGAAATAAATACACATTCATCATTTTATTCAAGTAAATACAAGAATATTAGACTATAATTTTTTTTTTTAATTACTGACAATAAATTTTACAGAGATATGTAATAGCTGAGTAACCTCTAGTTGGGTTCAGTGTTAATCTGTATCAAAAAGTTCAAACAGATTTTAAATACATATATGGAAATAAAGCTAGATAATAAATTGAAAAAAAAATGGGAACAAAGTGTTTGCTGTTTAGTGAATAAGTTAATAAATAAAATAAATGTTTTTTATTTTTTAATTACTAAACAGAATTGAATATTAAGTGAATTCTGGTTGAGATGGAGCTGTTTTGTCTAGTCATGAACATTAAATCAATACAGGAACAAAAAAAAAAAATTGTTAGTAAAAAAAAAAAAAGAAACAAATAGTATTACTATACATATAATCCTTCGGTATAACATATGTATGTATCCCTAAAAAAAAACATAAAACCCAATTACAAAATTTGGAAATAAAAGCCAATCAATTTGTGATTCTACCACGAAATTTTAATCATATAAAAATTCATTTGAGTAGAAACAAAAATAGTTTAAGGAAGAAATAAAATAATTATAAATACAAAGAAATTTTTATTTATTGAAAAATTTAGTACCAATAAGGCTTTCTTAATTATAACTTAAATTTGAAAAACTAATAAATCATAAGGTAGAAGAAATGAGCTCCATATTAAGACCAGATATACCAAAAAATCAGAGATCAGTTACTTTCTAAATGTTTTTTTTTCTATTATTTGTAATTTTATTGTATAACATTGATAAAATGTCTAAAATTTAACAGAAATTAAATGTCATTATTTTATCATAACTCTTTGCAGGTATAACAATTTCATATTTGCCTTTTACACGCCTTTTTATACATATTAAAATTAAATATTAATATTCTACAAATCAATAAGACTCGTTTTCGATATAATGGTAGAATAAGTAGTTTAAATAAATACATAAAAATATGTTATCTACAATTATAACCTATTCTATAACAATATACACTTTTCTACATTATACACACATTATATAAATTGACACACACTCTTATCAACTATTTACACAGATAATACTGTAATCCTATACTAAAAACTATAGCATGTGTTAAGTATACATACTACGTAGATGCCTTCGAGAAAGACATTTGTAATCAGTCTATACCAAAGTATAACGGGGAAAAAATGATCATCCTATTTACAATCGTACGGGTAACAACCAAAACATCAATAGCTAAAGGAAACTGTTTTTATGGAAGAAAAGGAAAACTAGTGACGTGTTGGCACAATGTTTATCAAAACTAAACCTATGGGAATTAAGTATTTAAGGGAATTAAAAATGATACATCTTTGCCTCCAGATTCAAAAACACCTGTCCTTATCTTTATGTTTCGATCGTTTATTTTTAAAGTTAAATTTACTTCAATTAAAGTATTTTATGAAACTAAACCAAATACAACTCTAAACAGTGCTATAGAAATAAATAAAATTTAAAAAAAAATTATCAAGAGACTTAATAATATTAAAAATTTTAAAATTCACACGAGTAAAAGCATCAATAATATTAGATGAAGAATTAAAATAAATTGGAAGAGGAATGTCATTATCAAATATCAATTCAACCATCATTTTTTAAAAAAGAAATACTAATTAATAAACCTTGAGAAGTTAAAAATTTAAATTCTTATAATAAATAAATATTTTAATACTAATATTTAATTTTTAAACATTAAATGCAGAACATGAAAACATTTTTTGACTTATAAAAAGTAAATTATACCGCAATATAAAACAATAGTTTAAAACTTAAGTATTTGTGTTAATACATTCGCAGTAATGACTTTTACAAAGTGATGCACCTAGATTAAAACAGCCAACAAATATAATGTGACATCAAAATATATCAATTTACACTTTGAAATATTTCAAATACATTAATTTACATGAAAATTCGCCCCTATGCTGCGAAGTCTCTGAAATCAGTCTTGAGCTTGATAGTGGGCTCCTGTGGTTGAAGCTGGGGCTGGTGTGGTTTACCACTGATGATGTCTTTTCTTCGTGATTCTTGACTCCGCCTGACTGCTGTTTCTAGACGACTTCTCATATCACTTGATTCAGACATGATGGTTTTGAATTCCTGGAATAACAGATGAATCAAAATACTGATATGACATTAAATTAAATTTACACCTTTAGTGCTATATAAATTTTTATTTCCATTATTCTTTCTGTATTTAAGTACTATTGAAAACATCTTGTTAATAAATTTATACCTGAGGATATTGAGGCCCGATCTTCATAAGCCACTGAAGGCTTTTTTCATGAAGTGTTTTACACTGTTTGTTAGCTTCTTTCAGAGTTGGTCCTTCCAGTAGACAATCTATGAGTTCCGGGACTAACAATTTTAACATTTGTATTCCTGTAAAAATTTTACAAAAAAAAATATAACTTTTTTTTAAAAGAAAAAAATGGTAAAGAGGCATGCTTAGAAAAATAGTAAATTTTAATCAATTAACTGTTTACTTGCCTTGCAACAAATCTCCTAGAAAGCAGGAAAGAAAAATTCAATAATTGAATGCAAGTTTAAAAACATTACCATCTAGATTTTTAAAATACTTTCAAAATATAAATATAAAAGTATTTAAATTACTACTTCATTCATGTAAATACATGTAGAAAAATATTCAGAAAGAATAGAAGTAATTTTGTATACCATAAATAAACTATATTTTACAATACTATTATGAATAATAGTACTAAAAATAAAATATTTTCATTCCATTTATATACACCATTAAAACAAATCAACAACAGTTTTTTCCATTAAATTGCAATAAATAGCTTAGTAGGGAATTATTTAAAAATGTATTAACTGTTCTGGATTATAATAGTAGGAAGACAAGTTTGTAGATTTATTTTAAGGAGAAAAAAATTACATCAATATTTGAAGGTCCTGAGCAACATCAGGGCGAAAATTGGGAACTAGCAGATAAAAAAATCAAAAGCATTTGAAAGTAAAACCAGAAGAAAGTTACTCTGCCATAAGAAAAAAACCATCTATTTCAGAATAGTGTAACCAACAAAACATAAAGTTATTGCAGCAAAACAAGTGATTTATAAAAAAATGTTCCGGTGATGCCTTCACCAAGATCCTAAAAGATAAGAAAAAAAATAGAGAAAGGAAGATCCCAAAACAAAGAATCAATTTATTGGGATCATCTACCATTGCATTGTAAAACCAAGAAGTTTAAATTTTCTCAGAATGCTTCCATAAAACTTTTTTTTAAATGCCATTTATTTTTATTAGACTTATCCTGTATTGGTCCCTTAACAATAAGCCAGTCACAAGATAAGCCAAGGAAGAGGGCATAAGGGATGCTAGATTATCAACTATATAATGTTTTTCAAAGATACACTTTAATTTCCAAATAAATATTTTGGCTTTAAATGACTTCAACTATCTACAAAAACCATGCACAGAAATCTGGAAAGAGTATGATGAAGTATCTCGATCTTTCAATAACTAATGCCAATAAAACTACACACTATTAAATTACTACATGGATAGTGTATACCAGGACTGTTTCAATTAAGAATACATAAAAAACAATCTCAACCAGAATCAAATTACTAAATAATACTATTAAATATCCACCCAACTTATGCGCAATATTACTTATTCAAGAATATACTTCCGTAACATATGAAAAATGGCATACACTCTATATTACAAGTCATTAAAATAAATAAAATTACATCAAAGAAAAAAAAGAAGAAAAGATTTACTATGTTTAGGTTCAGCGAGATGAATAAGAGCTTCCAGCGCACAAATCGTTTCCAGAGTCAGATTCAGCTCTAAGTCCGTCGAAACCTGTTTGGAAGCCTTGTTGTGAAGTAATTCTAGAAGTCTTGGAGCTAAAGCGTGGACATAGCTTGTACAAACTTGCCTATCAGTACTTGAAAAGATTGTCTTCAGACTTTGTACACATTTCAGTTTTATCTATAGAAAAAAGAAAATAACTTTAAGAATTGCATTATGCAAAAAGTACATACATATATATATATATATACACATACCACTTTACATATGAATATAACTGATCATTATGTAAAGAGCACACGGAAAAAAATCATTATCTATATATTTTTGAGTTATTGAAATAAGAAAACAAGGTGTTCTGGAATGCAAGAGTAAACCAACACAGCAAGTGGAATCTGCTCAATTCAATGGATACTTAAAACTTTCTTACTCAGCTTTATAAATAAATAAAATTTCAATTGCAGGTTTTATTAATAGAAAGTAAAACTGAGAAGATTTTTATTTATTAAAAACAACATACATATTTCAATATGTTGAAATTATAAATAATTATGGAGTTGAATATTCCTTCTCTCTTTATGACTTCCAAAAATACTCAAGCTGCTGTTTTGATTTTGTTTTTTATTAACTTTACTCTTACACTTTTTGTATTTACTTGTTTTTTAACCTATTCATAGTCATGAAGGAGATGGTTGTTTCTATCATTAATTTGAATAGAAATAAATGTAAAAATAGCCTTTATTACTAACCTGAATATCATCTCCCTGGATACATCTCCTAAAATGATTGATACAGGGATATTGCAAGTTGGGAGCAGAGACAACTTCTGGAGGAGCATGTAAAACAAATACTGTTATTGCAGTCATCATTGTCACTTCATCCAGCTTGATTTCGTCACCCTCACTCATTTCGCTCATGTCAGCTCCTAAATTAAAAAAATGTAAATTAACACACAATAAATCAAAAAGTAATTTTTGTAAATAATACCAGTCTAATCTAAATACCTGTTTTAGCAAGGTCAATGATCTTTGCGAGAGCACTCTGCAAGAGGGCTTTCCATTGATTGGTTGTAGCGGAATGAGTAGCATATCTGTGGGACGCTAAGGCTCGCAGGCAATGCAATGCACCGGTCACCTCTCCACCGGCAGGAGATTTCCATCCACACTCTTTCAATACGCCTGTAGTAAGGTAAAGTACTGTAGGAAGTATCGAGATTCCCCCTGAAAATTATTTTATTTGATTAATTATGAAGTAATTACTGTTTATTATTAGTATTTAATCCATTAGGAAGAGTGCTAAGGTATAGTTCGAAATTACCAGCAGGAGAAGTAAGAGTCGGGAGCCTGCCCATGGTGTCGAGAGCCCTGGCAACAAGAGGCGGGTGCGGCCTCTTCTGTGGTCGAGGACTGAGCGATTGAGGGCTTGGGTTGAGCGGGGGCAGTTGGCTAACCAGCAGGCAGAGGCACACCTCCAGCACAGCAAAGACCAAGGATTTGCCAGGTGGTAATTCCCCTGACTCCCCTCCTTCTCCTACATTATCTAATTCTCCACTCTTCTCGTCAGCTTCAGCGCCAAGTTCTGAAAAATGAGATAGAAATGAAAATCAAAAACCTTACCATCACTAAAAATGAAAAAAAAATTTAGTTTTTTATTATTGTCAAAATAATAATACCTTTCATTTTTTTCTTCTTCAAGGTATCCAGTTCTTCCTGAGCTGCTTTTAAAACTTGACTCAAGACATCCATAACTAATTGTTGAATTTCAATATTTTCTCTAGTTAACAGTAATCTGAAAAAAACATACTGATTTAACACCTCATAATAATCAAGATTATATTCAAAAAATTGATGGTGTGTAAATTGAAGCTTGTATTGTAGTATGAAAGTAAATGTTATTTTGCTCAGAATTTCTTTAAGAGATAAAATTCAACATTAACACATCATAGTCTGCTTTACAGACCCCTTCTTGTCAAATGATTAACATTTGCCAAAAAAATCGTGAATGGCTTTATCTTATAATAACCTACAACTTTTTTTTTTTACCAACATTCTTGGAAAGTAATGAGGCACTAAATACTCACAAATACCCATTTGCTTTCCACTTTATTCATAACGTAATTTGGTCACAAAATCGAGGAAAAAGGTGGCATACAAATATATTGGACTATTTGGTATGATTTCTACTCCCAACATGTCAAAATAACGATTTGTCCAAAACCTTTCCCTAATATTTTTGTAGGCCATTTTTCTCAATTTCGTGATCAAATTATCTTATCATTCAAATGGAAACAAATGGGTATTCATGAGTTTTTAGTATTTCATTAAATTAATTAATTTAATGAGAAAATGCTCCATTTCTGAGAATTCTCATAGATAAAAAAGTTCTAGGTTATGATTAAGATGAAGCCCTTCATGAAATTTTAGATGGATGTTAAAAAATTGATAAGTAGGGTTATGTGGAGCAGTTTATCGGGGTTGTTTGGAAGTTTGTTTAGAGTAATGAAACATACAAAGAATAAAAAAAAATTTCTAAGATAGAATTGGTACAACAATGCTTTCAGGGATAAAATTTTAATGTATTTTTTTTATAGGTGCTTACAATTAGTATCTGAAGTACCAGAGTTAAAATATATTAAGTACTTTCAAACATTAGGCTCAAATCATACATAGAAATAAATATGAAAAAAAAAATTATAATTTTTTTTGCTTTTGCCTGAGAGGACCCAAAAATCTGCCAAGGATGCAACCCTTGCTAAAATGATAACTTGAGTAAATTGATACTGATCTGGAATGGCTTTAACCATGTTCAATATAACTTAAACTGAATGATGAAATCCTAATTACCTGTGAAGTACGTTACACAACTCAATGCTTAATGATCTGTCTAGCATCAGCATTTGCCGAGGAAGTTCAGAATCGAGAAGTGTAAAGAGAGCTTTTAAACAAGTTATAACACTTTCAGTAGGCTCTACCATCCGTGGGCTGCAAAGAGCTTCCATACAAATACCTAAAAAAAAAATAAGATGGCTTCATCTAAACAGTCTCAATATATGAATTGTTTTTAAGCAAAACCTTTAAAACAAATTAAAAGTAACCCTTTCCTTAAAACAACCGTTTACAGAGTGAAATATATTTCATTCATTACAAATATAACCATTATATTTAAATAAAAACATTTTAATTTAATTTTAACCCTAACAAATAATCAAATATAAGCTACATTAATGCTTCAAAAGGAATATATAATGTAAAAAAAAAAAAATGAATGTTCCTAAACTAACTGTTTCGAAGCGTTACATTCACAATGAGAAATTTATTTTATTTTCAAAATTGTTATTATTGGTACACAAATAAATAATAGCTAACAGAAAATTGTTGTTTAGTAATTTATTTTTTTGCGCCTCAATAAACATATCTAACACAAAGTAAGAAAATATTTGGCACATCGAAGTCAGTGTTGAGGTTAAAGTAGGTGGGATGGATCTAAGCTATCAATCGGTGCTCTACCCATCCATGAATAGTACATCTAATCAAATGGAAGACCCAAACCGTTATAAATATGTAGACAGAATTAATAAAGATCCACAGCAGGATGGAAAACAACGGCCCAAAGTAGGCAAATGGTTTAGGTTACCACAGATCAAAATGATAATTAAAACTAAAATAAAATAATTAATAATATAATAAAAATTAAAATGTAAGCAAAAGAGGAAGTTTATTTTTAATTATACTAAATCTCTATCTGGAATTAAAAAATAAAACATTGAGATTTTTTTTTTTAAATTATTGATGTTAAAAATTGAAGGACAAATTATACAACTACAAAATAATAGATTATGAATGAGTTTCAAAATTTGAAGATGGTTCTAATAACAGGAAAGGAGTTCATATGATTTTTTAAAAGTATAGTACTAAAATTATATAGTATTAGAAATGGTATAAACTTTTAAGTAACTAGATAACTTTATCAAATTTTTTGGGTGATAAATAGTCAGGACGCAATCATTTTTAAGGTTTTTATTAGTGCCAACGTTTCACCCCAAGTGAACTTGAACACCTTCAGTGCTCAAAACATGTCCTGATGATGACTCAGATGATTAGGTTGAAACATCGGCGCTAATAAAAACCTTAAAAATGACTGCTTCCTGACTATTTATCACCCATAATACGTAGAACAGTTGACTAACTTCCTTCAATTTAACAAATTTTTTTATACAGAATAAAACAACATACCAAATAATAAGTGAAACCTATCTTGAGCATTTTCTCCTTTGAATTGGGTAGCATTCAACCAGAGGGCAGCAGCATGCAACAGTGGAGGCCAAGAAGCTGCATAATGTGGCCTGCAGCTATCCATTGTGTCTGTTGTGTAGAATGCTCCACCATCATGAGGTAACTGGCTGGCAAATTCTAAAAAGAACAATTAAATTATATATTTATTTTTCATAATACATTATAAATAATTGCATATACATTTGCACTTTGTACAATATCTCACATTTTTATACTTTACATTACACATTTATTTTTGTTTAGATAAAGAATTCTTAAAATTGACAATTAATACTATTAAATTTTAAAATTTCTGAACAGAAAGATACCTGGAGGAAGTGAGAGTAAGGCATGATCTTTGAGTGCCGCTAACCAATTCTGTGAAAGAGATGTCAATTCAGGCAATACAAGAGTGAGTAGGCTTTCGCCACCAGATTCAAAATCACCAAAATCCTCATCACCATTGGCATAAGTGTCATTATTGGGAAGGTTTGAAGGATTCAAGTTACCAGCTGAAGTACTACTTCCAACCATAGCAACAATGTATACCTATTAAAACATTTACAAGAGTTGAGAAATATAAGTTACAAGGAAAATTAAAACTATTTCTTAGCGACATAATTCACTATATAATTTACATTAAATAAAGGGACCTACCTCTGCCCATGCCCTAAGAATAGCCAGTCTTTCAAGAGTGAGCATACTTTCATTGTAAATCAAAGGTGTGGTCCCTGAAGCTCTTAAACGATCCAAACATGACACAAGTAGCTGGTGAACTCTTCGGAGATCACTGAGGTCCCGAGCTACACCACTTCCTATCCAAGCCGAGCAAGCTTGACAAGCAGCTGCCGTCACATGAGATGGAGTGTCTCGAGTGAAAGCTGGCCTCAATGCAGCACTCACCTGTCAATAAATAATCATAAAATTTTATTTGTTTACGGGTTATTACGGTAAGATAAAATAAAGAATTAATAGAACATTTTAGCTAGATTATATTAAAATAACGTTTCCTTCAAAGTCTAACCAACTTAGGGAAGAGCCAAGAGAACCAATGATATTGATGAGATTTAAAAAAAACTGAATATTTGAGAAAACCTTGTAAAGTAGGAAAAAAAGGAATGCCAATTTTTAAAAGACAAACCTGTGCCTGGTACTGTTCAAGAAGAAGATGTCCTGGGAATTCCGGCTCGGGAACTCTTGCAAAAGTTTCAATGATCTCATTAAGGAGGCTTAAACCTTGTAGGCGCAACTGATCACAGTCACTTGTAGCTGCCATGAAAGCCATTCTCACCAAATCAGACAAGTGGAGCACCAAATAATCACCTAAAATTCATCGATATATTTTGTTTTTATAATTTAAAAAAAAAAATTCAATAAAGTTAGGGAAAAAAAGATCTTAAAATAACATCTCACCTTTGTGTTTTGACATCTGCATTTCTTTAGCCAGAGCAAGATCAAAATGCGCTCCTTTATGAGTTTTGCAAGTAGTTATGATTTTGGAAACAGAATCAGCGGCAAAAACTCTTGTTGGCCATCTTGGCTGAATGGTCACCCTTGCTAATTCACCTGCATGGAATTCTGCATCATCACCTTCATCATCAGAACCTTCGTCAGCAACCGGCACATTTCCTTCCTGCTCTCCGGAAGCAGTATCTGCATAGGAAAAAGCAAATAAATAAAATACAAGTTTAATAGATAAATGAAAAACCAGAATGAATGATTGTCTAACCCAAGAATAATGAGATGAGGATAAAAAATAAAATACTAGCTATATTATGATGTAATATTTACCACAGAAATTAGTATATCATAAAATAAAATAATTGAAATCAAGATAATAAAGATTAAAAAAAAAGGAATATGAAAAAATAATATATGCCTTACCATTGGCAACAGTCAAAACAGATTTGCAAAGTGATAACCATTGAGAGAGATTATCAGCTGCTAAAACTTGAAGCATACTCGTCAGAGTATCGTGGATGTGCTTAATGAGACTTGGGTCTGTTTCAGTATCGAGCATTGTAAACAGCACGCCAGGAAGACCTGTTTCAGTAATCACTAGACCTAAAATTTCATAAAATGAAATCATATTATTTTATTATTCTTAATCCATAATAAGCATAAAAACAATAGGTATGCTTACCTTCAACGGAATTGTTTTCTCTATTTTCATTCGCTAGTGTAAGAGCATGCTCACATACTTCTTTTGCTTCTCTTTGAGTCAACTGTCTTAAGCAAGCTACTGCTGCTTTCCGGAGCAATAAATGATTACTCGACAAAGTACCCTAAGATAATAATAAACAATTATTAATAAATAATGAAAACATAAAGTGTAATTTTTATTTACTGCTATAGTTTCTTATAATTAAATTAAATATAACAGACAATCCTGAATCTTAAAGAAGCTAGCTAGCATTTTGAATTTTCCAAAGAATGTTTATTACATATACTTACACCAAAGACATTTAAATTTTTTTTGAGAAAGACAGGTAACCTGTATTTGATTTCATAATTCAACATATCTTATAATACAAAGTAACTATACAAATAACAAACAAACTTTTTAACGAGAAAATGTAATCTTCAAATATTCAACTTTGTACCTTTATAACTATAAATCTTTTCATTAAAAGAACTAGAAACAAATATTTCATAGTTTTGTAACAATAATTAAACTGATTACTTACACAAAGTGTAGGAACCAGGGATGAGAGATTCACATGCCTTGGGGCAAATAGATGCAACTGTTGCAGACAAGACGTGGCTTCAGCTTGAACAAGTGGATCTTGATGATCTTGCATGATTGCACAAGCACATAACAATGAAGATCGGGCCATACAAACTGTACTGGTGTTACCTATTAGAAATAAATAAAAAATAAATATATACATAATTATAATATAATTTTATACACATCTAGTTTATAGCTCTGAACAACCTATTGTTCAGTATATAAATATTGTTATATAAAGAAAAGTGTACAATATTTTTTAGATTAACAATGTTCCGCCATATCACTTCAATTTATTTAATAATTATAAATGATATCCAGTATACCTTTCTACTGTAAAATAAAAATACCTTGTAGTTCTGGTCCAACAGTTGTAATAATAGCACTAAGAACTTTTCCAATGCATTGATGAACATCAACATGAGACTGTGGTACGTTAAGTAAAAGTTTAAGTGCTAATGTGAGAGTTGGTTCGACGTATCCACGGAACATGGGACCTCCAGAGTCAGCAATGAGAAATAGAGCATGGAGAGCCCAAACCTGAAACATCACAGAAAATCATGTTAATTTTAACAACAAACCTAACTGATTTCAATTGTTATTAATTATGTATATCGTTACTGTTAGTGCAAAAGGTCAAATGTAAAATTTGAATTTTTTTACAGAAGATCATTTCAACATTAGTGCAAAGAGCATTACATAAAACATGTAAAATTGTTACATACAACCTGCTGCACTAATAGTAGCGATATATAATTTTTATTGTAATAGTTAAATATCACTGTAATAAATAATAAAATATAGTTGATATAATATATAATAATAATATAACAATAAAATTGATAAAAAATTTAATTAATATTTTAACTAATATTAGTAATAAAAATATATCAAATCAAGTACATTTAATATCTTGAAGAACGCACCTGTACTATTGGAGATGTAGGATCTTGAGCTAATGCTAATAATATAGAAACACTTGTGTTTAAATGCTGAGATGATCCAAGGCCACCAACATAACGATGAAGGCAACCAAGAGCTAAGGAATGACCAGTTCTGCTCGCAACATCTCTGGCAGATTTTAATCGATCGAAACTGGTCTGGGCTAACTCGGCAGTTGTCCTTGGGTCTGGAACAGTTTGTGCGAGGCGGCCCAAGGATTCCCCAGCTGCACATCGAAGAATCGGAGAGCTGCTTGTTAAGGCACTCTGAAAAACAGTGATATTAGTAAGACAGAATTTTTATCAATATCATACGTTCTTAAGTAAAAGTTTTTCCAAATATGAAGAATAAAAGTTACTACTCTATCTTATATAATATAAAATAAGTATTAATAATATAAAAAAATAATATATACTTATATAATAATAAAAAAGTTTTTTTGAGGTAAGATATAAATTAGTCTGAAACATTGGGAGATACTAGTCTAAAAAATCATAAGTTTTTTTATTTAAAAAAAATTAAATCCTATTAAAAGATTTAAAATCCTCCTCATTAAAACATCTATAGTAGATTAATTATAAATTAAATATTCACTAACAATAATCAGTGTTGTAGCAGCTTTCTTAACATCTTCAGAGCCAAGGATTGACTTTGACTCCGTAAGCCCTTTGAGGCCAGTGAGTAAAGCCGAGAAAACGTTTAGGGTCACAGCATCAGCCCTTGAAGACTTAGCAGCTTTTATACATTCAGAGAAGTGCTCCAGCATTTGCAAACGATGCTTCTGGTTAACTCTAGGGAAGACACAGCCAAATAAAATAACAGAAGCATCAATAACGGCTACACCTAATGGAAGTGGCCCAGGACTACTTTCTCCCTGAAAAAAAAAAAAAAAAATACTTTATTATAAGTGAAAGTTTTAATTAGAGTGGATGAAAATGAAACAATATCTTCACATAGTAAAATTTATTTAAAAAAAAAAAATGTAATCAACTATAATGATAAAGAAGTATTAGATGAAAATGAAACAATATCTTCACATAGTAAAATTTATTTAAAAAAAAAATGTAATCAACTATAATGATAAAGAAATATCACAAAATGGAGTGTTAAAAACAATGCCTACAGAATCAGTGGCCAAAATATTAAAAATGGGAGAATTGAATCATTTATGTGATAATAAAAAGTTAATTCTTACAGTTATACACAGCTTCAATTTTCTAGACTATGCTTTTTAAAATTCAGTTTAATAAACTAATCTTTTTAAAATTCAAGGAAAAATTAAATACTTCTTTAGATTAAATGGTGTTAAGATCCCTTAAGGTTCAATCTCAATTTCATTTCTTATCATCCATTTTATTTTATAGAATTAATCTATCAGGGTTCATTAATTATAAAAAAAAGGCGCAGTCACATTTCTTTTGAAGAATCTCACTTCCTGCTAAAAAGCATATCAGAAGATTTATGGAGCTATGTTATTCAACAATGAGAAGTTTTGAATATTTTTTAAGGCCCTAGTCAGAATACCATTGAATCATTTCTGATCAATAAAACTTTTGTTGAGTCATAAATAAATAAAAAAAGTCACAGGATCAAAAACAAAATAATATTAAGATGAACATTAATTAAGTAACACTTACAGGAGAAATGGCTCGATAAAGACAACAGGGGTCGTGTTCAAGAGCTCCTGAACCAGCAGCACTATTGTGTTGAAGCTAGAAAAAAAAAAATATATATATATAAGTTTTACTTAATTGACTAACAGAGCTATGTCAATCATTAGAGGAAAAAATCAATTTTTTTAAAAAACAAAATTTGCTTTTAACAAAATACCAAGAGATAAAAATAATACGATTACATCTGACTATAAAGTTTAAACATAAAACATCTACAGTATTAATTAGCAACTTTAAATAAAATAAGAACAATAAGAGATAAAAATATAAATAAAACAGTAATAAACTACACAACAAAACTGCTTAGCTTATTACAGTTAATTTTTGTAAACTATATACAACTTCATAATAATTTTTACAATAATAGTACTCCTTTATCATTTTTTTTTTAATTTTAAAGACATACTAATAATAGTTATATATAAGCCAAGATCCATAAACAAGCCACACAGAAATATTAAGATGTGATAACACACAACACTCATATGCAATTATGCGAATATTAATTGTTTAAAAGTTACATCTCTAAGATCAAAACTTTATATGTTTTAAAAATAGATAATGCATACACTCAATCAAATTAAACGAAAAATAGGATTAAAGTAACAAAAATAAATAAAAAACATAAATTAACTTACATAATCACCATCAGCTTTACGATTTGGTTCCATCTAATGTGAGCCAACAAAAAAAAAACAAAGCAGTTAACCGCCACCAGTGCATGTTATTAAATGTGATATTTAAAAATAAACTGATTAACAAATATTCTTTCTAAAAATTATTAGCGTGTATAATAAAAGAAAGGACACTGAAAAAACAATAAAATCAAATGATTGGGTAATGTGATAATAATTATTTCTAAAATATATAATATTACCTTAAATATTTTAATTTAAATTAATCATTTTGCACTAAACACTTTTCAATTATTTTTCCTTTTGTTTTAGAGTTTTTTTATTTTGTTTTTATTGTAACGTTTGATGTTTCGTCCTTTCCATTCCTTGTTTTATCAAGAGACAATTCAAAATTTCTAGCATCAGAAATTTGACCGCTATCATTCCAATGAGCAGCTATCTCTCATATATCAGAACAAAGGAATAAAAATAATAACTGACATATAGACATTTGTAAGAAGAAATATACTGGAGGCTTCTATGTAGTACATAGCCAATGTCTTAAGTTCTTTCTAACAATTCCAAATTATTCTCTTGTTATTCTGGCTGTGAAATATGTAAGAGAATATCTAAATTATCTTGTTAATACGGGAAAAATTTTACTATCAAATGTCATACATTTTCAGTTTTAAAGATCATCTAATAATCAATTGATCACTAATCAGGTAATTTAATACATCAAATTATTGTTATTGTCATGATTAAACTTACCTAAATTTCAGTAATAATACAATGTCCTTTCTTTAAAAATAGTTAGTTTTCAAAAGTGAGCTAAGCAAAACTACGTAGTTAGTAATCAATCTCTAATAGACAAAATATTTTTTCAGTACAAGAAATACCTGGTCTTCAATAGTCCGATGATCAGTTTCTTGAAGCCATGTTCCAAGAATTACTGAATCATCAGCATGACATGCAGACCTTAACTGTGATGTTGTTGTATTAGCAGGATTTTCACTGAGGGTGAATTCAGAGACCAGTAACCTCAATAAATGAGTGTACGAACCTAAAAATGAAGATGCTAATTACGATTTTTAGATAACAGTCAAATAATTAATCATTTCCTAGCTCACCTTCAAACAGCTGAGGAGGCAGCAGACTGAGTGTCTCATACAATCGCAATCGAACCATAGCAGCTGGTGCCTTCAAATGCTGCCCATAAGATTTCAGAACTGAAGATATGCTGTAACACGTTTATATGAATTATGAAGCTAAACTTTTCAGGTAAATACTTGAAAAAAAAAAACAAAAAAAAAACACTATTTACTTTGAAAGCATTGCCAAAGCTGATTCTACAGGTGTTAAAATTCTTTTAGCAATGTCATCAGTTAAAAGTTCTGGACAATTTTGTAAAAAGCTATGCATTGCTGATAGGGCACCAGCTCTGCCGTCCAGTGTGACCTGTTAATAAAGAAATTAATTAGAATATAATATAGACATTTAAAGTAAATTGAAAAAAACAAATTAGCATGAAATCCTAATCAACAGGTGCAAATTAAATTGAAAAATTATTTTTTAAGTTAATTAAGAAAACTGGAAACTAATAAAGATGAAATATGAATCAATTCATATTAATTAAAAGGAAAAAATTGTTTATTTAATAACAGAATATGCCGAATAATTAAAATGATAATCAATTAATAAAGTAAATGTTATAATATATACTCAGTAGGATTTTATACACGCCTCCTAAAATAGTACAAAAGTCATGCACAATGTTCCTAAAGTTTATATTAATTAAATTCTAACAACATGTTACTTTACCTGCCATGTAAATGCATCTCCTCTTGCCTTTTCAGAGTCCAGCTCCTTATTCGATCGAGGAAATGAATTTCTCCAAAGCAATAACATACGAGGAAGGAGTCCCTTGACAACCGGTACACCTAAAAAGTCAATAGACAATTTTACCTTCAAAGAAAGATATATAAAAAATACTAGAGATTAATTATATACAATATAATTTGAATTGCTTCATGTTTTCCATTGTTTTCTTTATCATGGATAATAGGCAACAGAGTAAGGGCATCGGTAGCGTTCATAGTAGAAAGGAGCTTCCTGGGGTGAAGAAATAATAAACGGATTTGGCTGAGGTATAATCAAATGCAGGAAATTAAAATAACAAGATAGCCAAGAAGTAAAAGGGGTAGAGATACATTTTTTTTTTCTTTCATGAAAATTGAATATTTGGTTCCGAGCCGAATTGATTGAGGTGCCCATTGACAATAAACATCAGCCTTATAGTAGGTAGAGGTAATTTCAATTCATTTTTTTAAGAATTCAAAATTGTTTATGAAATATAAGTAACTTACAATAAGAAAATGGTTATGTATATGAAAGTAATACTGAATGGAACTACTACGCTATCAGCCAAATACAACTTGTATGGTCTCCATATTCTCGATGTTTATATCGAGAATTATAATATAGAAAAAGTGTTAAAATACTTAACTGGCTAATCGCAACTTGTCAAAGAGAGAAAAAGTATGAAAAACTTTAGAACAAATTACTTTTTTTTTAATATATATTTCTAACTTGTTCAGCCTTAAAACTTATCCTTTTTATTTATTTAATCCTCCAGTTACATTTTCATTCACATTATTCTTAAAATAGTAATTGTATAATTATTATTGAGATTAAACTTGCTAAGAAGTGACACTTCTCAGCTGTCAAAAAAAGTAGATTTTATATATAAAAAGTAAAAAATATTATATTTCAATATTTATTCTTAAGAGTCAAGAAATAAATATTAAAACTTTAATTATGTTTCAAAGTAGTTGTTTAAATTAATGGTTTTGCAGATAACAGATATCCTTCATGTCCTCAAAATATTTATGTTCAATTTTTCATAATTTTCATTAAAAAAAATTTAAATAACCTAGAACCGGTAAACTTGTACCACTAACAACCCATGAAGGGTCTTGGGTTCATTACAATGTGATGAAGAACTGTTACAAGGCCAATGGTTGTGCAGGGAGGTGACGGGCTAATATGCTCAACCAGGTTTTCCCCCTTTATTTATTATTTAATTAAGGGTACCCACTTTATAGAGGCTGGGTTTGCCCCAAGAGGATCTTCTGGCCAAAGGGTCGACCCACAGCTGATGAAAAATTACTAGTCATAAGCCAGATTCTAACCTGGGACCATGAGCTCCGGAAGTCAGTGTTCACTCATTGAGCTACCCCACTCCTCAACCTAGAACCAGTAATCAATAATAAAGGAAAAGAGATAATGAAATTCACCTAATGTCATAATGGCTCCAATCAGAAGCCACCCTGCTTGAGTTCGGTTTAACGAAAGACGACTGTTCTGGCTTGCACTTCTTAACAACTCCTCAGCAGTATTAAATATTACCTTGAAATATAAAAATAAGTTTATATGCATAAATGGTTTAAACAATGGATAAACTGAAGTATAGAACAATCCTACCTTTCCCTTGTTATGAGGGACACCCAATGGGGAAAGTCTTACACCACCAAGAACAGCAGCCAATGCACTACTATAGCCGGATATGGCCTCAGGCGATGTCCTTGAATTTTCAATACCTTCAATACATCTGAAAGATGTTACAGTGTGTTTCAAATAAATTAATTTGAATACAATTAAATAAATTAGTGTATGCATATAAAAAAAATTATACTTGTCAATCAGAGGTGTTATCTGGCTTGGTATTGCGATGCATATACATCTTAAGCACCAAGCTGCAGCAAGACGAGCAGCTTGGCAAGGGTGTAATAGAACAGAAAGAATGCAATCTAGCAAATCTGAAAAGGACAAAACAAACATTACTAATTATATGTTACTTAGTTAATTAAACAATAATATGAAATATTTATAAAACATACTATTTGCTTGGTCAGTAAAAAGGCTGCTTGAGGTAGTTCCAAGAGATAATATTAGATTTGCAAGTTCTTGAAGGGCACAAACCATCAAATGCTGTCCAAATAATGTTTCTTGATTACAGTCTTTCGCATTTTCTAGGCTCAAATCTAAAAAACAAAAATATCAATATTAGAAGAAGTATTGAGGGAAGAGATGTTCTGGGATGGCAGTCAAAAAACTTCAAATAGTGTAAGCTTATTATATACTAGGTCTACCATTAAATATACAACTAAAGTTTTTATTCAATCAAACATTTTTTAATTTTACTTGCATCACACAATGATTGATAGTAATATGAAAGATATCTATCTAATGGGATCTCTTTAAAAAATGAAACTAATTACTAGATAGGTATTAAACAATGTTTTTAGTATATTTAGTGCATGGGAAGAAAGATAAAAACGTATCTAATTTATAAGGAATTTCATAATATTAAATGAGATTTATCTAAAAATTTGTGTAACCTCTATAAATATAATAATAATAATAAATAATATAAAAGTCACATATTAAAATAACCTTAGAAAAAGACCTGAATACAGAATAGACTAACCAATAGAATTCATTTGTGATGTGATTATAGTTGCGACTTCTTTAGCAGCAGAAACCTGAGCCCTTTCTCCAAGCATTCTACCCAAGGAACTTCTAAGAATAAATGATATGCACTTTCTTGAATAAACTGCATCTACGTGAGATGACGCAGCTTTTGGGTTTGCAACAAGTTCCAATATATGATTCAGAACAGTGCTTAGATTTCGTTCTAGCCACTCTCCACCCATTGTTTGTAGAAAAACAACATAGGCCTAAAAAGTACAAGATTTATAGAATAAATAAATATTGCGGGTTAATAAATATAATTTGAATGGACAGTATTTAAAACAAAATACAAACTCACATGTGTTACTCCAACTCTTATTTCCCTATTTACTCCAGAACTCCCTTTGATGATTTCACCAGTTCCTTTTAAAAATCCAATACCACCCCTGAGGAAACCAGACATAAGAACACCCAACGCTTCTTCCAAAGACATGTTTTTTACAGAGTTCTTTGAAGGGTGAGCTGACAAATAATAAAATTAAAATTACAAATAAATAGAATAATATATATTTTTGAGTAGTCGATAACTAGATTTTTACTTCTTTGTTATAGAATACTAACCTGTAGTGTTAGTTTTTGCTGGAGGCTGCTGCTGTTGTGAGGTCTGTGTAGTAGCAATAAGTGCCCCTAGGAGTTTAGCAACAGCACACCTCACTTCGTAATTAGAACCATCAAAAGCTCGAAAGCAAAGAGTTGCCAAACTTTCGAGTTCTGTAGTGTACATAAAAGAGGCATGATTCAGCATTTCTAATAAACACTGAAAAATAAATTTTGATCACTGGTATATCTCATTTAGTAGAATTATGTATTGAATAAGATACAGCACCATCTTGTTTAATCACAAATAACAAATATTAAATATTACCTTTGCTGCTGCACACCTAACAGCCATCACCCTGTCTGTGAGGCAGTGTTTGGCCGCCTTAAAAATCTCCTTATGCATATTTACAATCGCAGAGCCCATTCCACAACAAACCTATTACAAGAAAAAAATAAGGTAATATTTCAAACCGGATGGGATAGTTATTTTATACTAAAATGTGGTATTATGAATCATAGATGGTGTATAAAACATAGCAAAGAGTCAAACATTTTTCATTAAGGTATTTCCAACATTAAAACAGAAAACAGAATTAACAGAAAACACAAATAAAATAAAATAGGTGGTTTTGAATTAAATTAGTCCTTAGAACTTTCAACAAAAGAAAATCATCTTTTGATTCAGAAGTCTTCAATGGAAGAAAATTTTATGGGAAATAGAAATATATATATATATATATATATATATATATATATATATATATATATATATATATATATATATTTGAAATAGCAATGTTTTCAGTTGAATAAAATTAGTTTTATGACATAAAAAGAAATTTAGATTTTCTAATGCTATTGAACTCTGACTTGGGTTTACCCAAAACTTGTGTAATGTGGATTAAATTTCCTTCTGTTAAATACCATCCAATTTTTCAACAAAACTACAAAATGATAAATGTTAAGAAACTAAAATTTGAAAGGGTTTATTTATTTGTCAATGCTAGATAAGAACATTTATTGCTATAGATCAAAAACCTTTAATAAATAAAGTTATTTTGTGAAACTTACCTTTTCTAAAGTTGTCATTATTTCAATCCTCATTTGAGATTCTGCACTTCGCAAGGATTTAACCAAAATTGTGACAGTCTCTTCATAAGACCTTCCCATCATTCGTCCTAACTTTTCATACATAAAACCAACACAGCATATAGCAGCTCTGAAATCAGAGTGAATAATTGACATTTTTTTATAAAACAGGGACAAAATATTTTTTTTAAATTTTCTCCAAAACTAAAACACCATTTTTAAATCATATAAAAAAATAAAATTGATAAGGGCTATTGGCCTAAATGTGTTATGCAAGTTCATTGATGATAAAAAAAATAAAAGTATGTAGCTTCAGCAGTACAGTATAATTTATTTTGAAATATAATTTTTTTTTTATTTCATTTTGTTTCTAAATAATAACAATACTAATCTTATAGTTAATTAAATACAAATTTTACTTACAACTTTGTAGGTAAAAAACTTGGTGAATCATCTTTGTTCTTCAAAATATCATTACACTTGTTCACAGTGTCGAAGAGCAGAAAAGTATCCCCGACACTGAAGAGCGTCGCTAAGCAGTTGGCAATAAGTCTTCGAGTAGGTGGACCAGGACTTTCTTGAATCAACTGAGTGAGCTGTTCCACAAGTTTCTTTTGGCAGCCCTTGATATCATTCTGTAAAATAAATTGTAAAAATTTCCATTATTTATGAAATATAAGTAACTTACGATAAGAAAATGATTATGTATATGAAAGTAATCCGGAATGGAACTACTACATTATCAGCCAAATACAACTTGTATGATCTCCATATCCTCGATGTTCATATCGAGAATTATAATATAGAAAAAGTGTGAAAATACTTAACTGGCAAACAGCAACTTGCCAAAGAGAGAAAAAGTATGAAAAACTTTAGAACAAATAACTTTTTTTTAAACTTTTTTTTAAATATTTCTAACTTGTTCAGCCTTAAAAGTATAAAACAAAAAATAGATTTTTTAAAAAGACTGAATACTAATTGTCAATCGATACAATATATTATGGAAGAATATTTATTATTATATATATTATATTATTTTTATTATTTATATGTTTTTGATACCTACCATCTGCTAAGCAGAGATGGGAAAATGCAAGTCCGACAACGGAGTACCAAGTATTTTACTCAAATTGAATCACTATTGAGAATCCAATCACTTCTTCAGTTAATTGTTTGACATCAACTGAAGTAATAATTAAACTCTTTGGTACTCAAAAAAGGTCAGTATTTGAGTAAAATACTTGGTACTCAGTACTTAGAATACCATTTGCCCATCTCTGCTCATAAGTATGAAAACATTGAATGCAATGACAAATATAAATGATTAAAATTTTTTTTTATCTTTCAACACCATTTAAATCAAGAAAGCTTTTGGTTGCTAGATGCATGTACATTTAATTTTTGTCTTGATTTGTTTTTTTGTTATTATGTACGGAGAGATATCTAAGTTTCAGAAAAAAGAAAATATTTGTAATACCAATTGTACAATGAACACTGAACTTTGATCCAAAAGTTTTTACTTCGAACTTACATAAATTTAAGATTTAATGTTAATTTTTATGAACAATATTGCTATTCTTAAGGAATTTTGTCCTAGAGTAAAGTTGATTTTTTCTATAAATAAAACATATTTTGTTACAAAAACAAAAATGTTCATAACATGATGAATAATAGAACATTCCTAGTGCCATGTCGCATATTATAGTGTTCCAAACTTAATACTACGATTCTTAATACAGTGGAACATATTTATAAGATCACTAAATTGAGAATGCAGTTAAACAAAAATTCTCTTAGTTTCAAAAGTTAATATTACAAGAAATATTTTTTAGTTCCATTTTCAAAAATAAAATTATAATTTTCAAGATGAACTGAGAATGAAAAAAAAAAGATATGGAGGTCTTGAGGTACTCAGCCGAAACACCAATGATGCCAGGCCATCAGCAGCTTCACGACCGACACACTTTACTATAATTGAACCCTAAAGATAATATTGAAGATAAAATGATCAATAGTTATAATGATAATTAAATGAGGGTCGAGGGTAATAGAGATAAAGATATTATCATAAAGTTAAGGACAGCCATAAAGCGCGAAGCAGGTAATGGGGCTTTAAGTGCTAGCAGCTAAGTAAATAGCCACCAAGGAAGGGAGCTATTCTCTAATACATCTCACTTAGCTACCTTCCCTCTCCTGGGGCACCTTCCGAAATTGCATTCGCCTTTTAGCCGCAGGATCCTTCCACAGGAAGCCCAAAATTAAATTTTCTACTAGATTATAGACATAAATAACTATGTGATCGATAGCAAAGTCCTTATTCTCATGAATAGTCACGACGTTGAAGATGGACTTGAGAATTTCCAATAACCTAAAGATGTTTTATAAAGAGGAAGGAGACGGTTCCGGATGGCGATCATAAAAAGACTAAAATAGTAAAAAAAAATATTTTATTTGAAGCCAACGTTTCAACCAGACTTTGCAGGCGTTCTTCAGAGGCGTGAATGCAGCATGGAGTATCGGTCGAAATTCAATTTTTTATAAAGGGATTCAGTTCTAAAGATAAATCCAGGATGCATATCGACTCAATCCCTTTCCCAAAAGACATCTAGCTATGACCTCTGATATATTTAAGGAAAGCACGGTCTACCCGCCGCCGATTAAAATTTTTTTTTATAATTCTCAAAAAAAAAAATTACACATAACAGTATGCTAATAGTTTCGTCATAATGACCTAGATCTTAAAGCCCTAATATTAAAGACGATATAATAATTTTTAAAAAAAATCTATACATTCACACGACTCCGCAAAGCCAGCAAAACTTACTAAACGTCAGAAAGTAACTTCGTAAATTCAAACTCCGAACTTGAAACTTGTTACTTAAAACTTTTTCCTTTATACTTCCAGTTGATGTAGAAGAGGTCAAGTAACGACTATCAACTTTGTAATTCAATACAAAATACAATATAATCTTATATTACGTAAAATATTCAAAATGAACGCATATAATCAAGCAAGTGCTAAGCAGTAGTGGATCCAGGATTTTTTTTTTTAAATCTATTTGTTTATGGTAATTACTCTGAAAGAAAAATACACTATATTAAATAAAGTCTAAGTGGTCTTTTAATGACGGTCAAAAAATAAATAAATAATAAAATAATATAAATTAAAAAAAAAAACTTTGTTTACAGAAAAAATAATGCTTATAGGGGTAAATGTTTTATATATATATATATATATATATATATATATATATATATATAATATATATATATATATATATATAGTAATTACTCTGAAAGAAAAATACACTATATTAAATAATGTTTAAGTTGTCCTTTAATGGCGGTCAAAAAAATATATAAATAATAATATAATATAAATTAAAAAAAAATACTTTGTTTACAGAAAAAATAATGCTTATAGGGGTAAATTTTTTCTGTAAACAAAGTTTTTTTTTTTAATTTATATTATTTTATTATTTATTTATTTTTTTGACCGCCATTAAAGGACAACTTAAACATTATTTAATATAGTGTATTTTTCTTTCAGAGTAATTATATATATATATATATATATATATATATATATAATATATATATATATATATATATATATATATATATATATATATATCTACGCCTGCTTACTTTAAGGAGCTGAAAAGAGTACCCATTTTGATTGTTTATATAAGTCATCATTATATAAATCAAAATATAAGTGTGCATAAAATTAAAATATATATACTGCAATTCATAAGAACGAGCAAACAAAAAAGAGGCTAATATTAATTGTCAGGAAATTTTTAACACAATCCTTATAAGTCTCCAAAACATCGGCAACCAACGTTTCAATGTAGGTATAAAACCAAGGAAAAAATAAAAATGGGATCACATTTATGCACAATCTAAAATAGAAACGACCAACTAGAGAAGGATCATTGTTCTCTGACAATCTACTCCAAACTTTAAAAAGACGAAATTTGCATTTCATAAAAAGGAAATCCAAGGAAAGCCTTTAATATATAAAATTTTAATGACTACAATTTATTTATTAATATATATCCTTCATTGTCAGCTTGGTATACAGTATATGTCAACAGACTAAAGACAAACCTTATTGTATTACATCAACCAACATTGAATATTCATTCTATTCAAACATGGAAAACGGAGAGAAGCTTTATAATTTATGAGCATAAGGCCATACAAACTCTACCACAAATAAACGCGGAGTAATTAGCTTTATGAAAAATATATTAAGGTAAATGTACCGGCAATAGAAACTTTAAGAGAAATTTTCAACATTAATATCAACTACAGCTTTAGTTCTGAAATTGAATCTTTGAAAATGGGTTTCATTAAAAGCAAATTTATTCTTTTATGGACTTTTTTATATAATTAAAAAAAAAAATTGTCCACAGTTTTCAACTAAGAAATAGAAAACCACAGACGAATGAATAAAACTTTTTAACTTCTCACCTAAAGAAAAGTAATAAAGAAACCTTCTTGAAACAAACCCCAGCCTTATTTTACTAAAAAATCAACTGGCAATCAGTTATTGTGCCCTGATAACACCTGAGGTTCAGACATCACCTTCTTAAATGTCCTAGTTTCAAATCTAATCGTATATGCACTCTCATAAAGCTTATTACAGGTCAATGAGTTGAAAACTGTCTAAACTTGTACAGTGTCTATTACTATAGACTGATCTTACGTTAGTTGTATAGTTAGCTGATGTTATGCTAAAATTTAATTTGAGTTGGATCAAAGGTTATTAAAGTTAAATAGTCCGTGGACTCCTGTTCAAATAATAGGTGTCACGTTTCTTGTTGAATACGAAGTGATAACTAAAAATATTTAAAGGAAGGAGATGGTCCGGGGTTGCGGTCATAAATAGGCTAAATAGTGGTAAAACTATTTTATAGAAACCCGACGTTTCGACCCGACTTTGCAGGTCTTCATCAGGGAGGTGTGTTCATCTAGGAGTTTCACTTAGAACTCCTGGGGTTCTAAGTGAAACTCCTAGATGAACACACCTACCTGATGAAGACCTGCAAAGTCGGGTCGAAATGTCGGCTTTCAATAAAATAGTTTTACCACTATTTAGCCTATTTATGACCGCAACCCCGGACCATCTCCTTCCTTTATAATGCAACGGTCAACTATTAAATATTCAATAAAAATATTTAATTTAAGTAATTAACAATAATTTCATAGTTAACTAGAAAAAAATTACTTCAAATGCAAGCAGAGTTTGTATTTGTTAAAACCACAAAAAGAGAAGTTTTAAGAAGCTAAACAATTCTAAATTATATTTTTAATAAAATGATGAATTATTACCATATTGGTTTATTATTTTCAATAATGACCCATTGTGATCGAACAAAAAATTTAAAAACTTAACCCCCTCTCAAAATTTGAGTTTTTACCTTTCAGGATGCGTAGAATTCGAAAAACGAGTACAATTTTTTTATTCAGCATTTTCTTCAAAACTACTGCACCGATTTTTTTTTTAAAATTTTTTTTTTATCGATTTTTTAAAAAAGAAAAACCTGCGTTGCTATAGACTGTTGCGCCTAAACGAATGCACCGATTTCAATGAAACTTGGCTTAAGTCTTCTTCTCGATGCCCTAT